AGCTGCAGCTCTCATCTACTCCTTCACTGGCTGCTCCTTCACCGAGAAGCTCTTCCCGTTCTTCAGTCCTGGTTATAATGACGATGGTATAAACTCTGCTCCTCTGATCATCTCTCCTGTCGGAGTAAATTAATCATTCTCTGATTTCATGTGATCATTTTATTCATTAAAGGGAATAAATGTACTTATTTTATATAAATACTGTATGTTTTTCTCTTTATTTCTGTATCATGACCCTTATGGAGAATATCTATTTCAACCTTTTGAATCCAGACTGTTTTATTTTCACTAAATATCCAAAGCTGAAGTTTGACTTTGAGTAAATTAGCAAAACAAATTATATCTGATGTGAAGCCTCTGAAAACATATTGTTGAATATTTCATATTCTCATAAACGCCTCTGACCTTTCCATCATGTTCACAGAATACACTTTGTGTTGTTGTTATTGTGCATGAAAATGAATTAATAATATAGATGCAAATGTTATTTTTGTTGTCACTTTGGCTCATTATGATTTGTTGTTGTGAAAATGACTTATAAATAAAGATAAGTGATTGTAATCAAAGAAACATACATTTATACCTTATAAATAACTTGAACACTGACAAGAAATGACAAGTTTACACTAGTTATATTCTATGATAAATGAATTATTCCCTGATGCTCTTTTACAAACTGAAGAGGTATATTCAGAAGCATAATGCTAATATATTCTTACATTTATCAAGTTACTCTCATACTGCATAAAAGGTCAATGGACAAAGTGAATTAATAATATAGATGCAAATGTTCTTTTGGTGGGGCGGCACGGTGGCGTGGTGTTTAGCACTGTTGCCTCACAGCAAGAAGGACCTGGGTTCGATTCCGCCCAGTGGCCTTTCTGTGTGGAGTCTGCATGTTCTCCCTGTGTCTGCGTGGGTTCTCTCCGGGTTCTCCGGCTTCCTCCCACAGTCCAAAGACATGCTCTGGGGATCAGGTTAATTGGGGACTTTAAATTGCCCGTAGATGTGTGAATGTGAGTGTGAATGGTTGTACTGTATGTCTCTGTGTAGCCCTGCGATTGGCTGGCGACTAATCCAGGGTGTACCCTGTCTATCGCCCGAAGTTGGCTGGGATGGACTCCAGCCCCCCCCGCGACCCTGTGTGCAGGATAAGCGGTTTGACAATGGATGGATGGATGGATGAACACTGAACACCTCTCTGGGAACTGTCACCTTACCGTGGTGGAGAGGTTTGTGTGTCCCTATGAACCTGAGGGCTGTGTTGTCGGGAGCCTTGTGCTCCTGGTAGGGTTACCCTTGGCAAAGTGGTCTCAGACGAGGGGCCAGACTAAGAATGGTTCAAGACCCCATGAAAAAACAGAAGAGGGAAGGAGTTACCTGGCCCGGAGGAAGCCCGGGGCCCCCATTTGGAGCCAGGCCCAGATGGAGGGCCCGACAGCGAGCGTCTGGTGGCTGGGTTTATCGCGGAGGTGGTGGGCTCACCACCTGTGGAGGAAACCGATGGGGTCGGGTGCTACAAGGGTGGCAGTGACAGTGGGGGGTCTAGACGGAACAGACCTGGGCGGCAGATGCTGGCTCTGGGGACGTGGAACGTAAGTGTAACCTCTCTGTGGGGAGAAGGAGCAGAAGCTTGTGCGGGAGGTGGAGCGTTATCAGTTGGATCTGGTGGGGCTTACCTCTACGCACAGCCTCGGCTCTGGAACCACACTCCTGGATAGGGGGTGGACTCTATTCTACTCCGGAGTGGCCCATGGTGTGAGGCGGGTGTGGGGATACTCATAAGTCCCCGGCTGAGTGCTGCTACATTGGAGTTTACCCCGGTGGACAAAAGGGTCGCCTCCCTACGCCTTCGGGTGGTGGGGGGGAAAACTCTGACTGTTGTCTGTGCATATGCACCAAACAGCAGGTCAGAGTATTCTGCCTTTTTGGAGACCCTGAATGGAGTCCTGCATGGGGCTCCAGTAGGGGACTCCATAGTCCTACTGGGAGACTTCAATGCGCACGTGGGCGACGATGGAGATAACTGGAGAGGCGTGATTGGGAGGAATGGCCTCCCTGATCTGAACCCGAGCGGGTGTTTGTTAGTGGACTTCTGTGCCAGTCACGGATTGTCCATATCAAACACCATGTTCGAACATAAGGATGTTCATAAGTGTACGTGGTACCAGAGCACCCTAGGCCAAAGTTCAATGATCAATTTTGTAATCGTATCGTCTGATCTGAGGCCGCATGTTCTGGACACTCGGGTAAAGAGAGGGGCAGAGCTGTGAACTGATCACTGGTTGTGTGCTGGGTCAGAGGATGGGGGAAAACTCGGGACAGACCCGGTAAACCCAAGCGTGTAGTGAGGGTGAACTGGGAACGTCTGGAGGAGGCCCCGGTCCAAAAGATTTTCAACTCACACCTCCGGCGGAGCTTCTCTCACATTCCTGTGGAGGTAGGGGACATTGAACCAGAGTGGTCTATGTTCAAAACCTCCATTGCTGAATCCGCGGCGGTGAGTTGTGGCCTCAAGGTCTTAGGTGCATCAAGGGGCGGTAACCCTCGAACCCCGTGGTGGACACCGGCGGTCAGGGAAGCCGTCCAACTGAAGAAGGAGGCCTTCCGGGTTATGATATCCGGTGGGACTCCAGAGGCAGTTGCAGTGTACCGACAGGCTCGAAGGGCAGCAGCCTCTGCCGTGATGGAGGCAAAGCAGCGGGTATGGGAGGAGTTCGGGGTAACTATGGAGGACTTTCGGTCGGCACCAGAGTGCTTTTGGAAGACCATCCGGCACCTCAGGAAGGGGAAACGGGGAACCATCCAAGCTGTGTACAGTAAGGATGGGACCCTGTTGACCGCGACTGAGGAGGTTATCGGGCGGTGGAAGGAACACTTTGAGGAACTCCTGAACCCAACTACTACGCCCTCTTTGGTAGAGGCGGAGCTGGAGGCGGAGGAGGGATCATCGTCAATTGGCCTGGTGGAGGTCACTGAGGTAGTCAAACAACTCCGCAGTGGCAAAGCCCCGGGGATTGATGAGATCCGTCCAGAAATGCTAAAAGCAATGGGTGTTGGGGGGTTGTCTTGGATGACATGCCTCTTCAACATTGCGTGGAAGTCTGGGACAGTGCCAAAAGAGTGGCAGATCGGGGTGGTGGTACCCCTCTTCAAAAAGGGGGACCAGAGAGTGTGTGCCAATTACAGGGGTATCACACTACTCAGCCTCCCGGGTAAAGTCTACTCTAAGGTGCTGGAAAGGAGGGTTCGGCCGATAGTCGAACCAAGGATTGAAGAGGAACAATGCGGTTTTCGTCCTGGTCGTGGAACAACGGACCAGCTCTTCACTCTTTCCAGGATCATAGAGGGGGCTTGGGAGTATGCTCATCCAGTCTACATGTGTTTTGTTGACTTGGAGAAGGCGTATGACCGGGTCCCCCGAGAGATACTGTGGGAGGTGCTGCGGGAGTACGGGGTGAGAGGGTCCTTGCTAGGGGCCATCCAATCCTTGTACGCCCAAAGCGAGAGCTGTGTTCGGGTGCTCGGCAGTAAGTCGAAGGCGTTTCCGGTGGGGGTTGGCCTTCGCCAGGGCTGCGCCTTGTCACCAATCTTGTTTGTGGTTTTCATGGACAGGATATCGAGGCGTAGTCGGGGGGAGGAGGGTCTACAGTTCGGGGGGCTGCAGATCTCATCGCTGCTTTTTGCAGATGATGTGGTCCTGATGGCATCTTCCGTCTGTGACCTCCAACTCTCACTGGAGCGTTTCGCAGTCGAGTGTGAAGCGGTCGGGATAAGGATTAGCACCTCTAAATTTGAGGCCATGGTTCTCAGCAGGAAACCGATGGATTGCCTACTCCAGGTAGGGAATGTGTCCTTACCCCAAGTGAAGGAGTTCAAGTACCTCGGGGTCTTGTTCACGAGTGAGGGGAAGATGGAGTGTGAGTTTGGCCGGAGAATCGGAGCAGCGGGGGCGGTATTGCACTCGCTTTACCGCAAAGTTGTGACGAAAAGAGCGCTGAGCCGGAAGGCAAAGCTCTCGATCTACCGGTCAATCTTCGTTTCTACCCTCACCTATGGTCATGAAGGATGGGTCATGACCGAAAGAACTAGGTCACGGGTACAAGCGGCTGAAATGGGTTTCCTCAGGAGAGTGGCTGGCGTCTCCCTTAGGGATAGGGTGAGAAGCTCAGCCATTCGCGAGGAGCTCGGAGTAGAGCCGCTGCTCCTTTGCGTCGAAAGGAGCCAGTTGAGGTGGTTTGGGCATCTGGTGAGGATGCCCCCTGGGCGCCTCCTTAGGGAGGTGTTTCAGGCACGGCCAGCTGGGAAGAGGCCCCGGGGAAGACCCAGGACTAGGTGGAGAGATTATATCTCTGCACTGGCCTGGGAACGCCTTGGGATCCCCCAGTCAGAGCTGGTAGATGTTGCCCAGGAAAGGGAAGTTTGGGGTCCCCTGCTGGAGGTATTGCCCCCGCGACCCGACCCCGGATAAGCGGTTGAAGATGGATGGATGGATGGATGAACACTGAACAGAAATGACGGGTTTACACAAGTTATATTTATATTCATGTTCATTAAAAACGTCTTGTTTAATGCAGGAAACATGTCCGAGTTCTTTGTTTATTGATCACGTGACAATTCGTCAGTGTGAACGACACGAGTTCCACAGAAAGATCAATTCTAACGCGAGTTAATACACGAGGTTGATGAAACTGTTCAGTGGCTTCAGATACTGAGGAGAATCCACTCGAACTAAGAACCAGCAGCAGAATAATAACCAAATACAACTGTAATTATACACAAACGTTGATCCACAGTTTTCCTGCTGTAGTAACAAAGTATTTATTTGGTGCCGGAGAGCAAAACCATGAACTTAAATGATGTAACAAGAGTTTAGCAGCTGAGCTGTAGTTGTTGGAGCTGCACAGGCTGTTATTCATGAAGCAGCTTCATGCGTTTATGACGTCATACCTGTTTGTCTCCTTGATGACACGTGCACAGCGACTGGACCACGTGGTCGTTAAAGAGGGTCGTCCTCTTTAAAATGACACAACAAAACATTTGATCACTTTTTAAAAGTCGAGAACAAACAGAAAGACGACCGATAACAAAGAAAAACACACAATAAATACTTTGAAGCATCCGAGCAAAGAGAAGATTCCTGTTTGTGATCTCATGAGAAGCAGGAAGACGGTCGGTACCAACACGTCAGACGGTGTAACCCGGGTACATGAGGTCACCTCGGCATCCAAGGTGAGTCTCAAGCTGTTAGGCATTTTCTTGGGAACTGGTCTGTTTGATTGCTGAAGCGTCTTTCAAATGACTTTTGATTTAGTCAAGGCCTATGGAATAGAAAACGAAAAATAGGAGTAAACACAAAAGTCAAAAGTAAACACATTAGTCACTTAAGTAGAAGTATGGATACTGGAGTTTAAAAAGACTGGTAAAAGTTGAAGTAGCAACTTAACCTCTTTACTCAAGTAAAAGTAAAAACGACAGGCTCTAAAATCTACTAAAAGTATGAAAGTAAAAAGTACCCTTAATTAAAAAAAAAATTTAAAATGTAAAGCTAAACTAGTTGGACCTCATATAATTGACACAACTGTAAGAAATAGAAGCTTAATTGAAACCTGATTAGTGCTACATGGAGCCCAAGACCTGGAAAAAAAAATACAAAAATATAATAATTCTGTCTAAGACCACAACAACTCGAAGAGCATGTTTTTCTCAAACTTTATTGGAATTTAAATAGACCTCCAAACTGAGGTAGTGATATTCAAGACACACCCTGGCCAGCAAACCTACCAGGACATTATTAAGGAGTGTGTTTGGAGGAGATAAATAGACTGCAAAGTGCTTATCTGTCTGTGTGTGAGTGAGAGAGAGAGAGCGAGAGAGAGCGTGAGTGAATGAGAAAAAGAGAGAGAGGGAGAGAGAAGTATGATTGTCCATAATTCTCTTCAAAAACTGCTGCACTAAACAGTCTCTCGCAGGCTGCTGAGGCTGGGAGTGCGGTGTTAAGCCTCAGTGAAAAGGTTGCAAACTGCCGGGAAAGACTGAAGTATTTCTACTCGATCACCTCGGCATCCAAGGTGAGTCTCAAGCTGTTAGGCATTGTCTTGGGGACTGGTCTGTTTGATTGCTGAAGCGTCTTTCAAGTGACTTTTGATATAGGATTCGTCACTTGTCCAGCACCTCTTGAATTCGGGGACTAGAATTGGTGCGGCGATCAGCTCTGGATCTTTAGTGCACTGCAAACAGCTGTAATGGCCCCTTCTCCTTGTTCCCTTGCAATTCTCACAATCCTGTCCACTGCTAAGAAGAGTGAGTTCCACCTCGTTGCATTTGGCCTCAAGAGCTGGAGTTTGCAATTCTCTTCAATGATCTCAGCTGCCGTCGTGGATCTTGCGCGCGATCTCCGCCTATGCTATACAGGCCACCTTAACGCACCTTGACTAAATTGTCTTTAAAAACATTAGATTTAGGTTTAAAGTAAAAAAAATTAACTTTTCGAGAGGCCAGCATGCTTCAGCCAATCAAATTGCCTTTCATGCAAATAAGACAGCACAGGCGCCAACCAGATCGCGTTGATGCTCACGTCTAAAGAGCGCAAAGTGAAGAAAGAAAAAGGCGGACCAAACTCCGTAAATCAGCGTATTTGTACCTAAGTTTTTAGGTTTTTTTGCTTAGATTTTTTGAGAATTACCGAGAAATAGACGCTGTACAATATAAAAATCCCATTATTGTAACTGAAAAATACGTCTGAGAGGATCTAAGGTTAGCATGCCACTAGCCAATAGCCATTAGCAATTCCTCCTTCATGCTGCTTTAAAATGCGTTGATGAATTGAAAAGAATTGGACATTTCATCAATGTCGCATTCAAACCAACAGGACAGCTCAAAACAAATGTTTGTGATACATTTTTCATCTCCCAGAACAATCACAACCCTTTACTAACACATTTCCTATGGGAAACACTGGTACATAAACTGAATATTAAATAGCCTAATATTAGCTTACTACTGTGTACAGCTCATTTTTCAAATATTACAGAGCGCTAACTAGGTTAACTTGTAACTTAGGATTCCTCAGTAGGCAACTGCTAGCAAGCAAACCAAGGCATGTTGGCATGTTGCTATGCTAGCTAAGCTGTAGCAAGCATTGTAAATGAACCATTATCTACCAGCCTGTTTTAAAAATGTAAGGAGCAGAAAGTACAGATAATTGTGTTAAAATGTAAAAGTAAAAAGTTGGCAGAAAAATAAATACTTAAGTTGAAATTTTAGGTATCTTTACTTTACTCAAGTACAGTAACGACAAAAGTATTTGTACTTTGTTACTTGACACCTCTGGGAATTGCCCCATGTGTCAAACGGAAGGGGAGTGAGTGGCAAACGGACCACTTAAAGCACTGCTGGGCTAAGCCAGCTGCTATGCTACTTCCATCTCAACGTCTAACGTCACCCACACAGTCTGCGGAGGACCACCACTCGGTCCCTAAGAGACCGTGGTTTGAACATGTTTTGGCTAAATGTGGGGAGATTGTTGGCAGCTCAAACACAGCAGTTAAATGATGGAGAGTTGATGTAGAGCCAAACAGGAAGAGCCGCTAGTTCAACATGATCCACCCGCTGGAATTCTGCCTCCAAGATGATCAAATGTGTGTAGTTTTATGTTTACAATAACATAAACAATTAAACAGTGTCTAAAATACACGCTTTCGTCGTGCATTCTCAACATTTTCAGCAATGTTTGACTGTGACAAATCGGGGACAGCTGCTGCTGTGACGTAAACACACACGCGTAGGGAAACCAGTATGTTTAAGAACCAGTTGGGGTGTATCATTGGTCCGAAATGTTGTCCAATATGAAACCGGTCTGCGTGGCAAAAAAGGTTGGGGAACGCTGATCTAAATGAGATGCTACGTCTTTATCAGCAAGTAAACAGAGTGCAGCGTGCTGCTCTTTATATCTTTATATTATGGGATGTTTATGCAAGATTGGTGACCCTCAAAAACCAAACTATTACCGCATAACGCAACGTTATATGTTACTACCCCACTGGTTTCATATTCAAACTATTTATGAAAACTACACGTAACTAAACGTTTTTCTTCTCTTCCACAACATGTGTAGACATGGCTTCTGCAAACTATGGTCCATCTGAAGATCAGTTCCTGTGCTCCATCTGTCTGGATGTGTTCACTGATCCAGTCTCCACACCATGTGGACACAACTTCTGCATAAACTGCATCAATGAACACTGGAACACCAGCGACCAGAACCTGTGTCCAATGTGTAAGAAGGACTTCACCACCAGACCTGATTTGAGGGTCAACACCTTCATCTCTCAGATGGTTGTTCAGTTCAGACAGTCTGCTCAGCAGAAAGCCAGCAGCAGCAGCTCAGAGCAACAAGAGTCCAAACCAGGAGAAGTTCCCTGTGACGTCTGCACTGGAACCAAAGTGAAGGCCCTCAAGTCCTGCCTGGTGTGTCTGTTCTCCTACTGTGAGACTCACCTGGAGCCTCATCTGACAGCTTCACGGCTGAAGAGACATCAGCTGATGGACCCTGTGGAGAACCTGGAAGGCAGGATGTGTACGAAGCACGATAAACCTCTGGAGCTGTTCTGTAAGAGCGACCAGACGTGTGTCTGCGCGCTCTGCACTGTTTTAGACCACAAGAACCATGAGTATGTTCCTCTAGAAGAAGAATATGAAGAAAAGAAGGTCGAACTGAAGAAGACAGAGGCTGAAATCCAGCAGATGATCCAGAAGAGAAGACTGAAGATTCAGGAGATCAAACACTTGGTCGACCTCAGTGAGGAAGATGCAGGCAGAGAGAAAGCAGAAGGTGTTCAGGTCTTCACTGATCTGATGGAGTCTGTTAGAAGAGGCTTGAAGGAGCTCCTCAAAACAATAGAAGAGAAGCAGGAAGCCACAAAGAAACAGGCTGAAGCTTTCATCAGAGAGCTGGAAGAGGAAATCTCTGAGCTGATGAAGAGGAGCGCTGAGGTGGAGCAGCTCTCTCTCTCTGAAGACCACCTCCATCTTCTCCAGTCCTCAAACATCCATCAGCCACCACCCACCAAGGACTGGACAGAGGTCAGTGTTTGTCCTTCATATGAGGGGACTGTGGTGAGAGCTGTGTCTCAGCTGGAGGAGACACTCAGTAAGAAGATGAAGAAGTGGTTTGCTGAGCTGAAGAAGGTCCAGATGTTTGCAGTGGATCTGACTCTTGATCCTGAAACAGCTAACCCTTATCTCATCCTGTCTGACGATGGGAAACAAGTGAAAGACGGTGATGTGAAGAAGAATCTCCCAAACAACCCAGAGAGATTTTGGCGTTTGTTCTGTGTTTTAACAAAGCAGAGTTTCTCTTCAGGCAGATTCTACTTTGAGGTTCAGGTTGAAGGAAAGACTCAGTGGTTTTTAGGAGTGATCAGAGAGTCAGTCAACAGGAAGGGACTCATCTCATGGAGTCCTCAGAATGGTTACTGGATCATATGTTTGATAAATGGAAATGAATACAAAGCTTTTGATGATCCTCCAGTTGTTCTCTCTCTGAAGTCTGGTCCTCAGAAGGTGGGGGTGTTTGTGGACTATGAGGAGGGTGTGGTCTCCTTTTATGACGTAGAAGCTGCAGCTCTCATCTACTCCTTCACTGGCTGCTCCTTCACTGAGAAGCTCTTCCCGTTCTTCAGTCCTGGTTATAGGTACGATGTTAGAAACTCTGCTCCTCTGATCATCTCTCCTGTCGGAGTAAATTAATCATTCTCTGATTTCATGTGATCATTTTATTAATTAAAGGGAATAAATGTACATATCTTGTATAAATACTGTATGTTTTTCTCTTTATTTCTGTATCATGACCCTTATGAAGAATATCTATTTCAACCTTTTGAATCCAGACAGTTTTATTATCACTAAATATCCAAAGCTGAAGTTTGACTTTGAGTAAATCAGCAAAACAAATTATATCTGATGTGAAGCCTCTGAACACATATTGTTGAATATTTAATATTCTCATAAACGCCTCTGACCTTTCATCATGTTCACAGAATACACTTTGTGTTGTTGTTATTGTGCATGAAAGTGAATTAATAATATAGATGCAAATGTTATTTTGGTGTGAAAAGTGGTTTGAATTATTTAAAGTCACTTTGGCTCATTTTGATTTGTTTTGTGAATATTCGTAATAAGACTTAAAAATAAAGATGAGTGATTGTTGAAAAAAAGGAAACATACATCTCTTGAACAAGTTACTTTTGCCTCATAAATAACTTGAACTGAACACTGAACAGAAATGACGGTTTACACAAGTTATATTTATATTCATGTTAATTAAAAACGTCTTGTTTAATGCAGGAAACATGTCCGAGTTCTTTGTTTATTGATCACGTGACAATTGGTCAGTGTGAACGACACGAGTTCCACAGAAAGATCAATTCTAACGTGAGTTAATACACGAGGTTGATGAAACTGTTCAGTGGCTTCAGATACTGAGGAGAATCCACTCGACTGAGAACCAGCAGCAGAATAATAACCAAATACAACTGTAATTATACACAAACGTTGATCCACAGTTTTCCTGCTGTAGTAACAAAGTATTTATTTGGTGCCGGAGAGCAAAACCATGAACTTAAATGATGTAACAAGAGTTTAGCAGCTGAGCTGTAGTTGTTGGAGCTGCACAGGCTGTTATTCATGAAGCAGCTTCATGAGTTTATGACGTCATACGTGTTTGTCTCCTTGATGACA